ACGCCCCATCGGCGGGGGAGCTGCCGCCGCCCCCGCAGCGTGGGAAAGCCCCGAGCTTGCGGGCGCGGCTGTCCCGGGCCCCGCACGAGGCAGCCCCTGCCTCCCCTTGCAGCCGGGCTACGAGCAGGGTCGTATTGACATCCGCACCTCGACCCTCGTAGCCTGCACCAGCCAGAGCAGTAGACGTGCCCCAGGTGCCTGGGTCAAGTATCCAGGGTACAGCCGGGGTGGTCCAGAGGCAAAAGGGATCAGAACTCGCGGCTTTCTTTTATTGGACCCACTAGATTTTTTGCAAAATTAAATGAATAATAATAAATAATAGTAAAGCAATCGTAATAAATACCAATACATAATTGTAGTGAAGAAAATAATAGCTCAAGCATCGTAATAATAGATAGTAAAATAAATGATAAGCATAACAACGGGACAGTAAAAGATATCGTCACTATCATGACTTCTGTTTCCAAAATGCCCCAGGAATCAGAACTTGCCGCGTAACATCTTTTATTAGAGCAACTTGATTTTTGGAAAATAAAATAATGAAATAATAATAATAAACAATAATAACTGATAATAATAGTAAAACAACAGTAATAAACAGCAACACATAATAATAATGAATAAAATAATAGCTCACATCATAATAATAGATAATAAAATAAAATACATGATAAGCATAATAACATGACAGTAAAAGATACCACCTCTACCATGACTTTTGATTCCAGGAACCAGAACTCCTGATAGAGGTGATGTCTTTTATTGGAGCAACTTGATTTTTGCAAAATAAAATAATGAAATAATAATAATAATAAAGAATGCATAATAGTAAACTACAATAATTGATAAAATAATAAATAATAAAATAATAATAAAAAATGTCACCTCTACCATGAGTACTGATTCAAAAATATACCAGGAAGGAGAACTGTGGTAGAGGTGATATCTTTTATTAGAACAACTCTATTTTTGAAAAATGAAATATTAAAAGATAATAATAAATGATAAATAATTCATAATAATAAATAAATAACAAACCATAATAACTGATAAAATGATAAATAATAATAAAATGATAATAAAGGATATCACCTCTACCATGAATTCTGATTCCAAAATGTCCCAGGAAGCAGAACTTGTGGCAGAGGTGATGTATTTTATTAGACCAACTCGATTTTTGCAACAACAAAAGAAGTTCTTTATTTGCAAGCTTTCTTTGCAAGAACAATATTCTTTATCTGACAAAATTTTGACACATTTGTTTACCTGACAAATTACCTGTACCATAATTTTGGAGGTATCCAGGTTGTAGTCGTATTGGTCTAGAGGCAAAAGGAATCAAAACTCGTAGCAGAGGTGATATCTTTTATTATACCAACTAGATATTTGCAAAAAAAAAAAAAAGTCTTCATTTGCAAGCTTTCAGGTATAGGTATCCTTCACCAGAGTTTTCATTTCTACCTAAGAGAACTTTTACAATTTGGCAATCTCCTATGCCTGATGAAGGATACCTGAAAGCATGCAAATGAAGACCTTTTTTTGCAAATCTCTAGTTGGTCTAATACAAAATATCACTTCTGCCATGGCTTTTGATTCCAATAATTTTTGAGGCAGCTAACTGATGCTGCAAATGTGAAGTCCAGGTCACTCTCAGGGAGTCTTAACTAACTTTTGGTTAAAAAACAAAGTCATATTCCAGGTCAAATTAGCCAAATCAGTTCCAAATCATATGGACTGAGCAAAACTCATTGCTCTTTTTTTTTTTTTTTGGAAAATTTTTTGTGTTTAAGGTCCAATTAGTCAAATCAGTTCTGAAACCTTTCAGCTGAGCAAGACTCACTTGTTCACGTACCATATGTAGCACAAAACTGGCAAGTTTACACACACACACACACACACACACACACACACACACACACACACACACACACACACAATTTTTTGGAACGTTTTTCATGTTCCAGGTCCAATTAGCCGGATAAATTCCAAATCCTTTTGACTGAGCAAAGCTCAGTTGTTCAAATACCATACGTGGTGCTGCAACCACCACAGCCTGGAGCTTCAGATATCCATTGGTGAGCTTCCTATGTGCAGGGCCAAGTCCAGAGGCTTGGGGTTCGCATGTCTCACTTGCCCTTGACCAAAGGCCACAGGAGCAAGCTAGGGAGGATTCCCTCATTTCCATAAAGCAGGCGTGTAGCCAAGATCCTCCCACTGGATGCTGGCCACTGGGAAGCTAATTACAAGACATAGGCTGTCCTGTCCACAGTGCATGGGACAGGGGTGCACGCTCCATTACACAATACCATTTAAATCCATCTTGGTTTAGGCAACAGACCAGTACAGCAGCTACTTAGCCCACAAGAGGCCAAGAAGCCCCCCCTTCTTTTTAAAGAATTTTTTCATGTTCCAAGCCAAATCAGCCAAATCAAATCCAAATCCATGAGTCAGTCCAGAACCATAAGTGGCCCTACAACCAGCAAACATCCTCCACCCTCTCCAGGGGCTTCAGCTATTTCCAGCATCTTTGGCAGGCATCCTACATGCAGCCCCAACCCTGGAGGCTTGGGGTTTGGATGCCCCCAAATTTTGCCTGCCCTCAGCCATATGGCCACAGGAACAAGCTAAAGAGGAGCCTCCCATTTCCATAAAGTGGGCTCTAAGGCCCAACACCTTGGAGGGTGCTAAACTACGCCAGAAGAACAGTTATCCTGGGGAACACTTAAGGAAAGCTGCCTTCTTGGGCCCAGATACATGGTGCTTCTCCTGCCAGGCAAAGCAGCTCTCACCATATCCCCATGTCTGCTTGCTTCAAAATAAAGAAATGTTTCAACTTTGCTGGCCCAGTTCTTCACTAGTGAATTGCAGTGAGCAATAAGAAGTAAATAAGAAGACTTATTTGTGTACTTATTTGCATTCACATTTACATATTTTTTCAGCATACGATAATTTTTCAGCAAATACGATAATCTTGAGCTCACAATACGATAATTTCATATTTAAGACCTGGCAACGCTATGCCCTGCCCTAACTGATGCTGCCTGACTCTTTTCCACATAAGAAGAGATTCAGCTTTAGTGTGCTTCTAAAGGTGCTCATCTGAGCTAACCAGGAAAAGATCCTTGGCTTTTTTTATTTTTAAATCAATTATTAACCTTCCTTATTTCTTCTAAAATAAATAAGGGGGGCAAACTGGGTCCCAGGTGGGTGGCTACTGGTGTGAGGGCATAGACATCTTGAGGGACAATTTAACATGCCCTGCCAGGCCCCCTTCTTTGGTAAGAGAAACAACAGCACAAGCCATATTTACATCTTGGGCTGCCCATGTTTTCAGCTCTTTTTTGTTTGTTTTTGAACATTTTTTACATCTTTTTTTTACAGCCAGTGCTGAAGTCACTCTTGGTGCTGCTCTGAACAGGGGTTGGACTCTGGGGATCCCTTCCAGCCCTACTTCTATGACATGGGCTGTTCTGGTTCCCCTGCTTTACCTGTGGCAGGTTAAGGAGCTAGGTCTTGCGTTGTGTCAGGATTGATGGTAGTTTTGTGAAGAATTAATGGATGGTGTGGAAGGGTTTGACAAGGACTGATCCTGCCTCAGGCGTTGGACTCAATGACCTCCTGAGGTCCCTTCCAATCCTCCTTTTCTGTGATCCTGAGAGAGCACACAGTCTTCTCCTCTTTGCCCTACAGGAGCTAAAGGTAGGGGGGAAGTCCCCAGCTTAAAACTCCCCTTGAAAAGGCCAGCCCTCCTCTGCATTCACGTCTTTTGTGGCACAAAGATCCCATAGCCTTTCTTTGGGGGAAGAGAGCTCAGAACAGTGGCAGCAGGACAGCATATTTCTAACACCTTGGATTTCTGTGGGGGACCCCAGGGTT